TTTTTTTTAAGAGGTATTTGGCGTAAAAGTATAGTTTCTTAGTATTTATATAAAAAAAGAAAGAAAAAAAGGAGAAAAACAATTGCAAATTATTAAATTAAGTTATAGAGGCCTGTTGACTTCAAAAAAAACTATAATTTTATTGTTCTCCACAGCATTGGGTCCCAATGCGATGTCGAGGGTCGTATCCAATCCGGWGTTTTGTCGTTCTTGCTAATATTTTAGGCATTCTGTTRTGATGTGTTTCACTGATATTTGGACACCGTAGACTTCGCACGAGGRTGGTTCTTCCTTAGCCATTAGGTGCCCTTAAATAGCTCTTATTATCAAATGAAATTCGCATAAATAAGAGATCGTGATGTATCATAATATTTAAAATATTTTTATACRTCAGACATCAAACGTATATAATTTATTAGAAACGCCAATAATCGTAACTGTTACCGTAGGACGTATATAAATAAGTGAAAAATAAATATATATAATTAATAATATATTTATCATACATAACATATTATACGGAACGTCCAACATAATATTTGCTTTGTTTGATTTATGCGTTGAAATTTTATGAAATTGCAAAAGCTGTGTATAAGATAAATTGTCTGTTTTTATAATGTATAATAATTTTAGTTAATGAATAAAATATTGTTACCAGAAAAAAAGTCGTGTTAACGTCAAAATACGAAAACCAACAACWACAGAAATGCAATAAAATATAATTTAAATGTTCAGAAACCTCTGGTAATCCATTAGTCCGAGCGAACGCAATAATTTAAAAATATTATTATCTCAATTTCGTAATTCTGTAGATAGAATTTCAGAAAAAATATGAAATACGCGGTATTACAATAAATCCTCGACGGATGAAATCATATTTGCTAAAATAACGATTTATAAACSGACGGAAAATATACGCGTATACATATAGGTAAATGCGGAAACGCGTGCATAAAATTCCGTCGAGTAATAWACGTCGGAAAACAACAGTCGAAAAATAATTATTTTTTCTTAAGTTTGTAATGTATGTTTACAACATGTGAGTGCAGATTATTTTAAACGAGTATCGAGAAAAATTACACGCAGCCCCAATGCTAATAATAGTCCCCGATTTGTRAAYGTGATTTATGTGTCCATTAATAATGAAATATCTCCAGTAATTAACTATGTTATGCTGCCTAATCGAATACCATAAGTTTTCAAATTTGGCGTTACTGAAACAGTAAACACGTCTGAACAATACGCATGATAAATAAAATCTCTGATCTATATTGCGAWATGGCAATATAATATTATAGGTAGCAATAATATAGTCGCAAAGATGCCGCACGAAMTACCACAAAAGTCGAACATTTAATTGATTTATAACAATATTATGTCAGGATTGAAATAATCTACTATATCATATTATTATAATTATTACAAT